AGAGGATTGTGTTTAACCCGTTCATTTATGCCCTGTTGGTTCATAGTGTGCGCTTACTCCTACAGTTCTGCCTGATTCATTTAGTGTGTGTGTGCTCCATAATTGTGTAAATAGTTAAATGAATTCTTTTATTTGGGCTAATCTGTGTTGTGCTCTGACCACATACTCTCCCCTGCTCTGCACAATACCAAAGGGAGGGGGTAGCCCAGGGAAGCAAGGAAAGGCCAGACTCTTGGGTTGCCACCTTTCTAGGGATCCCCCAAAGATTGGGGATTCCATCTCCAAATAGGAAGATTTGGCCAGAGGGGTCTCACTGTCCCTCTAAAAAGGCAGTGACAATTCAGTGAGTGGTGGCAGTGAACTTAAGGAGTAAGATACGCCCATGGGACGAGGGTGGGAGGCGAACAGCTGAGTTGTAAATTGGAGCCCGTTTCGTCACAGTAGGCAACCAAGCTTGGTTCAGACAAAGGAAGGAAACCCTTCGCAGGCCTTTGTGAGGAACTCATTGCAGCCAGTCCTGGCTACGGTTGCCAGCTCCAGGTAGGGAGATTCCTGGAGATTTTCTGGTAGAGTCTATGGAAGCCAGGGTTTCGGGAGGGGAGAGGTCTCAGCTGAACAGAATGCTATAAAGCCCACCTCCCAAAGCAGTTATTTTCTCCGGGGGGGGGGGATCTGTTGTCTGGAGTTCAGTTGTGATACCTGGTGATCTTCAGGCTCCACCTGGAGGTTGGCTACCCTAGGCATTACAGTCAGTGCTTAAGAGCAGGGTCTGCTAGATCCAGGTTCTTGCTGTAGAAGCTGGTTGGGTGATTTTCGACCAGTCACAGACTTTCAGCCTAACCTACCTCACAGGGTTGTTGTGCAAGTCAAAAGGGGGAGAGGAGAATGATGTAAGCTGCTTTTGTCCCCATTGAAGAGAAAGACTACTTTTCCTCCTGGGAAACCATTGTTGCCAATCTCCAGGTGAGAGCTGGAGATCACTCAGAATTACAACTGCTCTCCAGAAGCCAGAGATCAGTTCCCCTGGAGAAAATAGTGGACTCTGTGTCCTTATACCCTGCTGAGATGCCCCCCCCCATAGCCAATGTGACGTGGCAGTCAGGGCTTCAGAGCACGGTAGAGACTGCACATCCAGGGGGGGGAGGAAAGCTGAAGAGTGAGGGGGAAATAAAGGTAGATTGGTGCTTGGCTGGGAAGGAGATAGGGTTGCCACTCCAGGTGGGAAATTCCTGGAGATTTAAGGGATGGAACCTAGAGAGGGTGAGGTTTGAGGAGAGGTGGCACCTCAGACAGGTACAATGCCATGGGCTCCACCTTCCCAACCAGCAATTTTCTCCTAGGGAACCACTGTTGCTAATCTCCAGGTGAGGGGTGATCACTCAGAATTACAACTGATCTCCAAGAGGGAGGGGGAAGGAGATGGAAAGCTGAAATCAGAGGGGCAGATAATGGCAGGTTGATGATTGGCTGGGAGGGAGATAGGGTTGCCAACTCCAGGTTGGGAATTCCTGGAGATTTGAGGGGTGGAGCCTGAAGAGGGTGAGGTTTGAGGAGCGGTGGGACCTCAGACAGGTACAGTGCCATAGACTCCACCCTCCCAATCAGCCATTCCCTCCTGGGGAACCATTGTTGCCAATCTCCAGGTGAGGGGTGGAGATCACTCAGAATTACAAGTGATCTCCAGGAGGGAGAGCAGGTCAGCTGCAGTCAGAGGGGCAAATAACGGTAGGTTGATGGTTAGCTGGGAAGGGGATGGGGTTGCCAACTCCAGGTTGGGAAACTCCTGGGGATTTCAGAGGTGGAGCCTGGAGAGGGTGGGGTTTGA